TGGGGAGGTGAAAGACCAAAGCTACCCTGAGCTGACAGACCCCTGGCTGTGGGGCAGGAGGCTTCCAAGGCTGCCAAGTCGACAATAAGAAAAGTAAGCCTAATTCCAAAAGGTTGGTGTTGCCAGTGGCACAGATTCGAGCTCCCACCACAAACGCGTGCAGCAGGTGTGACTTTCATGCCCATTTTGCAGATGAGGGAAACCGAGGCTCAGATAAATCAGTGGTTTACTGATCCCAGACTTGTATGAGAGACCACCTCACACCGGTCAGAATGGCTCAAAATAACAAGTTAGGAAACGACAGACGTTGGTGGGGGTGCGGAGAAAGGGGAACCCTCCTACACTGTTGGTGGGAATGCAGACTGGTGCAGCCACTCTGGAAAACAGTATGGAGGTTCCTCAAAAAGTTAAAAATTGAGCTACCCTTCGACCCAGGAGTTGCACTGCTAGGTATTTATCCAAAGATACAAACATAGTGATCCGAAGGGATGCCTTCACCCCAGTGTTTATAGCAGTAATGTCCACAATAGCCAAACTATGGAAAGAGCCCAGATGTCCATCGACAGATGAATGGATAAAGAAGATGTGGTATATATATACAATGGAATACTACTCAGCCATCAAAAAATGAAATCTTGCCCTTTGCAAGGACGTGGATGGAACTAGAGGGAGGGTATTATGCTAAGTGAAATAAGTCAGAGAAAGACAAATACCATATGATTTCACTCATGTGGAATTTCAGAAACAAAACAGATGAACATAAGGGAAGGGAAGGAAAATAAAATAAGACAAAAACAGAGAGGGAGGCAAACTGTGAGACTCTTAACTCCAGGAAACTGAGGTTTGCTGGAGAGGAGGTGGCTGGGGGGATGGGGTAACTGGGTGATGGGCAGTAAGGAGGGCACGTGATGGAATGAGCTCTGGGGTTGTATGCAACTGGTGAATCACTGCACTCTACCTCTGAAACTAACCATACAGTATATGCTAACTAAATTGAATTTAAATAAATTAAAAACAAAAACAAAAAAACTCCAAACAAGTGCAGACTTGTCTAGTTCCTAAGCCTGAGTTAGATCCCTGCTGAACTGTTTATGAGCCATGGGCTTAGCTCCATCCACCTGGGTACTTTTCGAACATCAGATGCAGCTCCTAAGTTCTTGCTCCAAAGGAGGAGGAGGCTTCAGCTGGGGAAACTTGGCGAGGGGAGGGAACAGTGTGTGGAAGGGCCAGGAGGAGTAAGGGGTCTGAGCAAACTTCAGAAATCAAGGCCACTGATTCTAGATTTATACTTGGGATCCATTACTTGGGCTTTGGGACAGAGGAATGGAATCCTTAGGAATCCCTTCTCAGCCTATGGCCTTGGGCAGACCTTTCATTCTCTGGGCCTCAGGGGCGTCACCCTCAGTGTGGATAGTAAATAGCTGGGTAAGAGGTGCCACATGGATCCGATACAAAGGGACGGCTCCCAGTGAGTGAAGGCCACCCGGACAGGAGCGCCCACCACACAGGGCCGCTGTGCATACGGATTGATCAGTCCGACACAGAAGCCCTTAGAGGGGGGCCTGGGGAACCACCAGCAAACGGCAGCCTCGTCTTCAACAACATCATCCCCAGGGTCACAGGTGGGAACAAAACTCAGGTGGAGGGGAACGGGCAGTGCAGGGGGAGGGCACGTGTTAGTAGAGACCTGGGCGAAGTGAGGTCACAGCCAGGCTGGTGTCTCTGGCAGGAGACACAGCCCGTGCAAAGGCCCAGAGGTGGGACTGTTCCAGGGACCTCAGAGAGGCCAAGATGGCCGAACCGGGAATGAGCAAGGGAGGGGGTGAGTCTAGGAAGTGGAGGGGCTGGGGGTAGGGGGGGGCCAGCCAGCTCCATCTGACCTTTAACCCTTTGTCCTCCCCGGGCTGGGACACCATGGGGTGGGGGTGGGAGGGTGATCTATTTATCTCTCTGATAAAAGTTAGATCTTCCTCAGAACTCCGGGAAACATCTTTTTTTCAGGACCCTCTTTGAGCATCACCTTGCATGACATGAAATATTTTCCCAAACATTTAATCCTTTAATCTGGGCCCCTTGGTGAAATCAGTTCTTTATCACCCACGACCATCTGTTGTTTGGGCCGCACCGTAAATAACTCTGGAGATTTGACTTCTAAGGCGCTTATCTCTTTTGTTCTCTCCAAATTCTGGGAGACGAACGTTTGAATTTTCCTGGGAGAGGAGAGCAGGGCCACATCTAAAATTAATCTCTCTGCACCCCCTCCCCGCACCCCGTGGGCCTCCTAATGTCCCTGGACCAGGAAGCCAGACTGGGAAGCGCGGGGAGGGGGGCTGGGGGGAGAAACAGTGTTTCACTTCTGATCTGCAGGCTCCAGTGAGGTCTGTAAATGAGGCCTCATGTACGAACAGGCTAGCCGGAAAATCCCACCGGGCCTCCTGACCACATGCACACCGGGCTCATCATCTTCCCGAGGAGGTGGGGATAGCTGTCACGTTCGATTAGGATGAAAATGGTCGGACCCCAACATGAGTCCAATTTTGTTAATTCTGAAGAAAATGAACTAAGAGCTAATGGTGTGGGATTATGTCCCCTGCTTGCAGCTTGAAAATTATTCATGATGATACAGGAATTACAAGGACTGGTCTGAGCAGGGGGTGGTGAAAAGGCTGAACCAGCTTGAAAATCTAGGCTCTGGTCTCCCCTTTGTTTTGGGGGAGAACCACCAATCTCCTGAAGCCTTCGTTTCCTTAAAAGCCAATTCTTGGGTTTGTGTTCGTTTTTACATTTCACAAATTAAATGACCGACATATCTATGGGAGAAAACATGAATTCTCTGGGAGAAGCTGGGGTGGGGCCATGAGCCCCATCCTCCCCAGGCTGCCCCTGCCCCACTTGGTCACTGCTTTCTTCCCTCTCTTGCCCTCCCTCTAAGCCCACTGGGCTCCCTGGGAGGTAGTTTGAAAACCCGCTGGTCCTTGTGCTTGCACAAATTCCAAGACGCACCTGGTCTGATACTTGTCCTCGGTGACCCGACGCCCCCTACAGGTCACTGGGAGCAGCGCATGGACTTGGCAGCCACCGTTAACAGCCGTAGGGTAGCGGGGGGCTGGGGGAGGACGTCCACACATCTTTGACCTTCCCTCTCTTTACTCCCTTGAGGTCAGAGGGCATATGCATTTTGTTCCTTGCTCTTTTTTTGTTTTAACTAACACAAGTGTTTTTCCTGTCATCAAAAATTCTTCAGAAGTACTTCTCTTGTTTTTAAAATTTTTGATTGCCTTCTTTAAATTGAGAAAAAGAGTGTGTGCGTGGAAAAAATCATACTGAAGCAGGGTAAATGAGTAGGCAATGAAGAGAAATCCTCCTTGGCTTCAGAACTGAATGCTCCTCTCTAAAGGCAATCTGTGATAACACTGTCTTGTGTATTCTTGTGATATCCTTCCAAAAATGTTCTAGGCTAACCCTATACGTAGTACATGAGTGTGCATATGCTTACTTTAAAACATCGTTAAGTGTGTAGCATACAAACTGTTCTGCACCTTAATATTCCTCACCCACCACTGTATCTTGGTAATTTTTCAGAAGCGGGCTAAGGGCACAGGATTCCGGTGTGTAGATGAGCATCACTTACTTGTACAGGAGGGCAGGAATTTGAAATACGGATACATTTGGGGCGCCTGGGTGGCTCAGTTGGTTAAGCGACTGCCTTTGGCTCAGGTCATGATCCTGGAGTCCCGGGATCGAGTCCCATATCGGGCTCCTTGATCAGCAGGGAGTCTGCTTCTCCCTCTGACCCTCCCCCGTCTCATGTGCTCTCTCTCATTCTCTCTCTCAAATAAATAAATAAAATCTTAAAAAAAAAAAAAGAAAGAAATACGGATACATTTGCAGGGGCGCGGGGTAGAGGGTAGGTAGGGATTTAGATGACAGGAGCACTTTAGGCACAGGCCAGGAGGCGGGCAAGCCAGGGTGTTTTTCTCCCAATGAACCTCGTGTGTGTGTGTGTGTGTGTGTGTGTGTGTGTGTGTGTGTAAGACCTGCCCTCCACACAGCCCACTTTCAAATCCAGAAGCAGAACGGTGTCCCCAGCATGGACGGGGTCTGGTGTCAGAGGGACCCAGTGTGAGTTGCCTGGTGTGACAGAGGTCCCCGACCTCACCTCTAAAATGCTTATTTTAGGGGCGCCTGGGTGGCTCAGTCGTTAAGCGTCTGCCTTCGGCTCAGGTCATGATCCCAGGGTCCTGGGATCGAGCCCCGCATCGGGCTCCCTGCTCGGCGGGAAGCCTGCTTCTCCCTCTCCCACTCCCCCTGCTTGTGTTCCCTCTCTCGCTGTATCTGTCTCTGTCAAATAAATAAATAAAAAAATCTTAAAAAAATAAAATAAAATAAAATAAAATAAAATGCTTATTTTATTGGTCATGTGCCCATATTTCCTACTTGTTAAGTACTGCACCTGATTTTTAACGTTTTATTGGAAAAAATATCAAAAAGTGGGAAAAGCTCGTGTCCAGCTTCCCACAGAGTGAGCACCCCCAGTGTAGCCAGCACCCAGATCAGGAAGCAGAACCCAGGCGGCCCCCGGGGACCCGAGGTGCCCTTCCCGGTCCCCACCCACCAGGTGACCACTCTGCTGACTTCTCACACCAGACGTCAGCTTCGCCTGCGTTTGAGCTTCAAGTATGGATGGAATCACACTGAGTGTTCTCTTTTGGGTTCTCTTTTGGCCTTTCTCCCCTTCCGCTCCGTATCCTGCGTGTGCTTTTTACCCAAGCGGCGCGGTTTCATCCACCGTCTCTGCGATCTGGAAGCGCCCAAGCTCCGCGCAAACCCAGGGCTTGCCTGAGACGCACGGAGAAAGCGGCGTGCGTGTGTCACGCGCACGCATCCCCGAGCGTGCACGTCCGCCCCTGCGCGGCCGCGGGGCAGACGGGCGCGCGCTCCCCGCCCCCGCGCGGCCCCGTGCCGCCGGTCCCCGCCGCTGACGCGCGCTTCCCCCGCAGGCCGAGGAGGCGGCGGGCCCCCGGCAGCCCCGCGCCGACCGCTGCCCGCCGCCGCCGCGCTCGCTGCCCCCCGGCGCCTGCCAGGCGGCGCGCTGCCAGGCCGACTCCGAGTGCCCGCGGCACCGTCGCTGCTGCTACAACGGCTGTGCCTACGCCTGCCTGGAGGCCGTGCCGCCCCCGCCAGGTAGGCGCCCGGGCCCCGGGGGGGGGGGGCGAGGGGGGCGGGGCGGGGGCCCCGGAGAACCGGGGTGGGCCGCTGCGTGCCCGAGGCGCCCGCGGAACTGGCACGGCCCTGAGCGCGCACAGCCCGGGAGGGGCCCATGCCGGGGAAGATGCCCCCTCCTGAGAAGAGGGGGGCGACTTCTCATTAAAAAAAAAAAAATCCAGGTCTCCGGCTTTTCTTAGAAACCCTGGACCGCATTCCCTGGGCCGCCATCTGCTGGGACCCCGGGTGCCCCTAGATGGCGGCGGGTCCTCCCGTTTCCCCCGGACCCCGCCAGGCCCACTTCCCTCGCGATCCGGGCCCCGGGAGTATTGGAGGTGGAGACCTGGGACCTCAGCAGTCGGGATGCGGTGTGGCCCCGAGAGGCAGTGGGAGCGCAGGCTCCTGGGTTCTAGTCCACTGGCCAGCTGGGGTCCCCACCCCCCACCCCGTGAAATGCCCCCAGCTGTAAAACAGGGCTGAAATGAGACCGTGCAGCTCCTGGAGGGCTCTGAACACTCGCTGTATTGGCAGGGAGCAGATAATCAATAAGATGTCTGTTGAATCTTAATGGCAATTGCTTTGGGAGAAACAGCCCTCAGGGACTCTCTTCGAAGGGAAGGGGTTTTAGATCCCTCTGGAGAGGTTTTTTTTTGGGGGGGCGGAGCCTTTGGGGATACTGAGGAGAGGGTGGGCAATGCATCCCCCAGGGTGGAGAAAAGGTGCCCCTAAGTGGTTAGGATGGGGGCAGTAAAGTCTCCTCCCCTCTCAGTTCTGCTTGGGGCTGAGCCTTTAGGTGACAACAGCCTGCTTGGACCTCATCTCTCAGGGCGAGGCCTCTAGGGGCCCTGGGCTAAATTGCTGGAGGCCACTTGAGAAGGCAGGCCCAACCCCTCCTCCCAAGGCCCAAGCAAGAATGACTGCACTTTGTTTTCTTTGGGGTGAGGTCACAGTGGTGACAGGTAGTCAACACCCTCAATAATGCTCGTAATTACAGTCTACTTGCGTTTGAGCACTGTCTCTTGGCCAGGGACTAGGCGCGGCCAGGAAGGCTTCTATAGGGCCCTTTATAAAAAATGACAACATGGCACCCCCTCCTGATGGAGGAAGCACATAAAGGTACTTCCCTCTGGGTGGGTAAGTCAAAAAAGGTGCCCCTTCCTCTGGACTGTGACAGTGAGCAAGGATTCTAGCCTTACTTGCCACCTATGCCCGCAGATTTTGAGCAGTGCACAAACTATACAGCTGTTCATGACATTCCCAATAGCCTTTCCCTACATCATCTCATTTAATGCTCACACAGCCCTATGGTGTGGAGACTGTTATCAGCCCTATTTTACAGCTAAAGACGCAGAAGCTCAGAGAAGCAGAGTTGCTTGCCCAAGATCACACAATAGGCAAAGCTGGTATTTCAATCCCGTCTTCTGACTGTGGAGAAGTGTCCAGTGCTTTAGGCCCTGACTGCAGGGACATGGGGTTCTACTCTTGCATCTGGGCCCATAAATGGGCGTCCCTCACTGCCTGGAACATCCTTCCCCCAAACACCCACACAGCTCACTTCCTCACCGACTTCAGATCTTTGCCCAGAGGTGGTCACTTTTTCAGGGAAGATTTCCCTCTCTAAATGGCAAACTCTCCTGTAGTTGTTCCTTACCCTCCTTTCCCTGCTTAATTTCTCTTTATAGTACAATCTAGAACATTGTGTTTTATTTGTTCATTGACTATTCTCCCCACTTGCAGGTCAGCCCCCATAAGGCAGAGTTTGGTCCCTTTCACTGCTGGATGCCCACCATCTGAACTAGTCTCTGGGCACCTGAAAAGTACTCAATGAATATTGAATGAATCAATGAATCGGTGAACGCCTAGCTATTGCTGGCCAGGCAGAGCAGTCCAGCTCTTCGTTAGTCATAGTAACAATTATAATAATAACATCTAACACAGGGTTTCTCACCCTTGGCATCCTGGACATTTGGGGTTGGATAATTCTAGTTTGGGGTGGGGTGGAGGCTGACCTGGGCACCGTGGGGGTGTGGAGTAGCATCCCTGGACCTCCCCCCATGAGATGCCAGTAGTCCCCACACCCCACACTGTGACAACCAAAAGTATCTCTAGACTTTGCTGTATGTTCCGTGAGGACAAAATCACCCCAAATTGAGAACCACTGATCTAATGTGAGCAGATGACCTGAAATGCACCAGGCCCTGCTGTAAGCAGCTTACACACTTCATTGCAATTTTCAGGTAGGTTCCCTCCACAGCAGACCTTGAGATAAGGACTTGGGTGCAGGGAGTTCATTTAACAGGTGATCCCAGGAAGTTCTACTGAGGCACGGAGAGGGGAGACCCTGAGCCTCCAGGCCTTTAGGCATCTGCAAGTTAAGGGGAGACCTTGACCAAGTTTCAGTTTCTAAAAATGCAGCAAACTGTGTATGTACATCTCCCGCTACCCAGGAGCCTTTGACCAAGGCAAAGAATACAAATAGGAAATAGTAATAGTTTCCTATTTGGTAAAAACTCACACTGAAAACATTTTCTATCACGGGGTCCAAGGTGGTAGGAAGGAGGGGGGAAGAAGCAGAAGACTGGAAATCAGCCTGCAGAAACTCCTCACGTCATCCCTCCAGTTGGAAGCTGCAAACTGCTCATTTGCTCTTCTGTTCCAGTTTGCACGCTGTGAGCAACTGTCTTACAATCATCTTGCGCTCTTTTAAAGAAAAGGCTAACCAGCATTTTTACCAAAATCCACCTATGTACCTTCAAAAGCACTAGACAGCACACCAACCTCTTTATTTTGTCATATTTTGGAGTCCAACAAAAGCAGAGGTCATAAATAAATGTGATCCCAGACCAGTTTTATTTGATCTACATAATGCATAAAACTATTTTTAAGGGGGGGGCAGGGGCAGAGGGAGAGGGAAAGAAAGAATCCCAAGCAGGCTCCATACTCAGCATGGAGCCTGACCTGGGGCTCGATACCACCACCCTGAGATCATGACCTGAGCCAAAATCAAGAGCCGGACACTTAACTGACTGAGCCACCCAGGCGCCCCTGTAGTGCATAAAATTTTTAAAAATTGCCAACACTTAAAAACCAGGAGTTTGTATTTTAAGAAATATCTACAAAGTTAAAAAAAAAAAATACAAGCTCTAGGAACATGGGGAATGGCTGGCCAGAGCTGACCAGCAGCTGACCCACTGAGGCAGGGTCTGTCTCCAGTTTGCCATGGTCCTACGGGACCTGCTTTTCTTATATATGTTACCTACCTGCTCCCTGGAAACATTTGGGCTCTCCACCCCTGCTTTGGGATTTTGAACGCTTTACAGTCTACCATGTGGGTTGCTCTTTTTGTTAAAAATATATTGGCCACAGAGCAGACTATGCTGGTATGACGCAAAGACCCATGAAGCCAGGAGTCCAACCTATCAGGCATTTACTCCTCTCTTGGTTAATAGGCCAGCGTAGACGGGTGGTTCATGGCGGGTATGTGGCTCCACTCCAGTCATCCAGTTACCCAGGTTCCTTCCATATTGTTGCTCTGCATGATCAAAGTGGCTCCCCAGCTGCAGGAAGAGGGAAAGCCAGAGGGAGGAGAGCAAACAGGCATCCATGCGTGGGCAAGACAGGAAGTTGTGTCATCACCTTGGCTCACATCCCATTGGCTAGAATTCAGTCATGTGGCCGTACCTAGCTGCAAGGAAAGCTGGGAAATGGAGTCTCCAGCTTGGCCACCCAGTGCCTAGAGGAAACTCAAAGTTGTGTTACTGAACGGCAGGGCAAATATATGGCAGGCAGCCTCTGTGTTCTTCATGAAGTGTAGGCTCCCCCACTCCCAGAGACTGGGGCATTTCTCGGCTGCTTGACCGGGGCGAGGGGAGGGCTCAATTTAACCATGTATTATTTGGTTAGTTTTAGATTGGCTAGTGCAGCCGAAACCTCGATGGCTTGGCGGCAACGGCTGGCTTCTGGATGGCCCTGAGGAGGTGTTGCAAGGTACCTGCAGGGTGAAGCCCAACCTGACGTCTGAGCCAGGGTCCCTCCTTCTCAGGCTGCCTCTGCTCCAGCAGGCGGTCTGCTCTCAAATACCTCAATATGTAGAAGGGTGGCGGCTGGGGCTTGGCCCGGCTCTCACAATCCCCAGAACAGTCTAGGGCTTGACGTTCCCTGCAAATGGGGGCTCCCCGTCCCCCACCACGCCGGGATGGAGACTTGAGAGGGAAGGGATTGGGGTTGGTTTTCAAATCTCTAAAATCATAATAAGGGGCTCACTGCTCCCTGAGGATGAGGTCTTCTGTGGGTGGGTGGCGAGCAGGCAGGCAGCCCCGGGGTCTAGAGAACTGGAGGGTACGAGTGTGTCTGCTTGTGTATGCGTGGCTCTCGCTGTGACCCTGCACACATTGTGGGCACGACCGCCTCTGGGAGCGTGTGCGGCTGTGTGTGCACCTGTGGGGCTGTTCTTGTGCTGTGTGAACCTGCATCTGCACGCGTGCAAACGTGTGTGATTGTAGGTGTGAGTGTGTGTGTGTTAAGAGCCATGGTGGTGAAAATGCGTGTGTGTCAGGGTTTGTGCATGAGCGTGTGTGTACGCCTGTGGCTGCAGATGTGAGTGCACGTATGTGTGTCAGGATTCGTGGGTACAGGCACGGGATCTGGGTGTGTGAGCACGTGTGTATCTGTGAGTGTGCGCGTGTGTCAGGCTCTTGTGTGTGCACACACATGACTGTAAGTGTGAGCATGCGTGTAGGTGAACGTGTATGTAGGTCACCGCGCACGAGGGTGTTTGGGATTGTTTGGCTTTGGACCGCCCTGTGTGTTGGTGTGCGTGTGTGTGCGTGTGTGTAGGAACACGCGGCTGTGAGTGAGACCCGAGGCACAGCCTGGAAGGTGGGGTGCAGATGGGAGGCAGACCCTCTGGTTCACGTGTCTGTCCCACAGCCGAGGCCTGCAGCACCACAGAGGATGGGGCGGAACCCCTCCTCTGCCCCTCGGGCTACGAGTGTCACATCCTGAGCCCTGGGGACGTAGCCGAGGGCATCCCCAACCGCGGGCAGTGTGTCAAGCAGCGCCGGCAGGCAGGTGAGTGGGGGCGCCCAAGCCATGCTCCTGGCCCCTGCCCCCCTCTCCCTAGAACATCCCACTTGGGACACCTGTCCCAGAGACAACCGCCAGCACCCCCAAACCTGGCCAAGAGCTCCTCCTGTCCTCCTACTCCCGTGCTTCTCCCTTTGAGTCTTCCATCCTTCCCCTCTTCGCCTGCATGGGACACAGGTCTTCGAGCCCTGCCACCTCCTAGCTGGGATCAGTTGCTTCAAATCTCTGAGCCTCAGTATTCTCGTCTATGAAATGGGGCCACTGTGTGCTGTTAGGGGAATTCATTTAAATCATACGTGTAAAGCCCTCAGAGCAGAGCCAAGCAATAATAGGTGCTCAGTAAACATCAGATATATTATATCCATCTATATATCTATTTTTTAAATTGTCTGAGAACCCTTGACTTCCCAGGGTCTCTGCCGGGAGCATTCAGTGTGACTTAATTCGTGTTTGCCCCTGGAGGTGAATAGTATACAGCAAATCGATCAGGGAAGGGCGTGAATGGCATTGCTTTAGTTTGCGTGATTTTTCCCAAGGAGAGCCAGGGCCACAGAGCACAGACTGCTGGTGATACCTAACTAAAGCCCCCCGAGCCTCAGGCAAGGTGTAAGGTCCACAGGACTTGGAAGAAATGCATGGCAAGCGAAGAATCTGGAATTTCAGGGAGATGTGAGTTGGCCTTGTCACAGCTGAGCTCATGGGACTCTGAGAGCCCAGACTCAGGGCCCAGTCCCCCCTGCAGCATCTCTCAGCCCTGAGAGTGGGGCTGGCAGCCTCAGTCAACACTGAGGCCCAAAGAACACAACAGGGCACGTGATCTGCCAGGAGCGTTTCTTTTCCTGAATGGAGAATGTGTTTCCCGGAAGTGTTTCAGGAAGGACACACTTCGTGCCCTGCAGTTAGCATCATTATCGCTGCAAGTAACACGATATGAGACATTACTACTCTCTCAAGAAGCCTGGTTCCTGGGATGCTGAGCTTTGAAAACATTGCCCATAAAAGGGGGCGCCTGGGTGGCTCAGTCGGTTAAGCGTCCTACTCTTGATTTAGGCTCAGGTCGTGATCTGTGGGTGGGGAGATCGAGCCCTGCATCAGGCTCTGTGCTGGGCATGAAGCCTGCTTAACGTTTTCTCTCTCCCTCTCCCTCTGCCCCTCGCCTGCCGTTCAAGCTCTGTTTCTCTCTCTCTCAAAAAAATTGCCCATAGTAGGCATCTTGGTGGTTTCTCCTACGTTCCACCTGCTGTTTGGGGTTAAGAGCCTGTTCTCTAGCCAGGCAGCCTGGGCTCTGGTGGCCCCTTGGCCCCTCACTGCTGCGTATGGCAAATAGCCTAGCCTTTTTGGGTTTCATTTTCCTTACCTGTAAAATGGGCTCATAATAGTTAGGCTACTTCATGCTGTCATCTGTCTTAGGGAAGAGGAACTTGGCCTATAGCGTGCACAGCTAACAAGGAGCAGAGGGGGAGTTCTCAGCCTGTCCATGGCCCGCAGGGCCTGTGGGTACGTGTGGGTGTATGTGTTCTCCCCCCCCCCCCCCAGGAATGATCAGAGCCTTCCAGATGGAAATGTAAGCGAAATTCCTCCTAGCCTTGCTCCCAGGGGCTGTCAGGGAGCAACAATTGTTGGTAATTATATGGGAGTTTGGACATGTCTTGATCTCCACCAGCTTCCCTTGAACGGTAGCCTCGGGGAGGAACAGGGGCACTTGTCCCAGGTTAAGCACAAAGAAGCCTCTTATTTAAGCTTTATCTTTTTAAACTCCATATTTGAAATAATTTCAGACTTCAGGGGCGCCTGGGTGGCTCAGTCGGTTAAGCGATCGAGTCCTGCGTCGGGCTCCCTGTTCTGCAGGGAGCCTGCTCCTCCCTCTCCCTCCGCCTCTCCCGCTGCTTGTGTGCTCTCTCTCTGTGTCAAATAAATAAATAAAATCTTTAAAAAAAATTTTAAAAATCAGTAATTTCAGACTTCAGAAAAGAGGCAAAATTAGGACCTTGAACCCTCCACCCCGATGACCCATCAGTTACTAAAATATGGTCACATTTGCTTTACCATTCTCTCTCTTCCTCTCCCTGGTCCCCACTGTCTCTCCGTATAAATCTGCATATTTATTTTCGGGACTATTTGAGAATAAGTTGCAGATCTCATGCCCACCCCTTAGGACGCCAGTCTCCTCCCAGATCCGGCGTTTGGAGGGTGCCAGGGATTGTTCGGGTTTTACAGTCCATCAGCTTGGAACCCAGCATTTGCGGGGTTCATGTCTTTCCCAAGAGGAAAATGAACGTTGACACAGGCAGTGAATCTGCCTCTTTGGAGAGCAGGGTCCGGGGAGTCAGTGCATTTCTCTGAGTGGGTTTGAGTGATGGGTTTGAGGTCACTCAGGTGGAGCGTCCCTTGTCCCGCAGGCTTGCCTCTGACAGAGTGCCATGGCTGATGCTGCATGAGAAGGACAGAGGATCATGCAGCCTTGAGCAGGGAAATCTATTTTGTTAAAATGACCTGTGATCATGTTTGGTAAACGTGGAGGCATGAGGGGGGTGACCAGCTCCGCAAAGACCTCTGACTCCTTCCTGTGGCACCAGCGTTGGTCCCTGAGGAGAAGGAAGGCACAGGAATGCTTCATCGTCGCCAGCCTGGAAAAACCCAGCCATTTGCTTGAGAAAATAGTTGTGGCCGGAGTTGCTGATAAGTTGTCTACCCGAGGGTGTGGATCGGCTCCGCTGGGTTCTGTCACCTCATACTATAATGTCAGTGCTGGCCCCAAACACCCTGATCCTTTTTAGGATGACCACAACACAAAGGGAAACAAAATGTCTAGCTATTGCACAAATGTGATCTTTACAATAGAGACATAACTGACCTATAACCTTCTATGAGTTTCCGGTGCATAAGTGTGCTTTGTTGACAAGGCTGACGTGCTGTGGTGAAGGAGTGAGCTCACCCCTGGCAGCGTTGCCCAGAGAAACTTCTGCGTGACCTGGCCAGACTTCTCAGGCACAAATGGTTCGCCGCCATGATAGGCTGGGGGCCGGGGGGAGGGGGGCGGCGTGGGGTCGATGACAACCAACAGTGGGAATCCTTAGTAATTCTAGATGTTTCAAGGTCCCAAGAGTCGACCACTTTTCACATACAAAAATGGCAGTTTCGTGTGGTTCCTCCTATTATTTGCATATCTGTGGTTTAAATGAAATTATTTTCGTCCTCACAATAACTTTATTTATGAGGTGCTAATTTTTAAAGATTTATTTGAGAGAGAGCACGAGCAGGGGGAGGGGCAGAGGGAGAGAGAGAATCTCAAGCAGACTCCCTGCTGAGCACAGAGCCGATTAACAACATGGGGCTCGATCCCAGGACCCTGAGATCATGACCTGAGCCAAAACCAAGAGTCAGGCGCTCAACCAACTGAACCACCCAGGCACCCCACGTGGTGCTAACTTTATGCCTATTTCCAGGTGGGCAAACTGAGGCCCAGAGAGGATTAGGGAAGCAGCGCAAGGAGATAGCTACTCCTTACTTGGTCACACGCAGTAAGGACATTCAAGACTCCTATGAGCAGACTCAGAAAAATATCATGTGTTGCCCATGTGAATTACATAGCTTGAAATCACACTCGCTGAATAATACGTTCAAATTCTGCTTCCGGTTCATCTGTTAAGACGGTGCGTCCTAAACTTTTTGGCCTCAGGACCCCCTTACACTCCAAAAACATTGAGGACCCCAGAGAGCTCTCCTTTGTGTGGCTCTGGGTAATTACCATATTAGAAACTAAAGCCGAGGCATTAAAAATATTTATGTGTTAATTCATTTAAGAATGACAATGATAAACTCATTATGCATTAAACAGAAAGAACGTTCCTTTTACAAGTAACTATACTTTCCAGCACACACAAAAATGGAAGACTGGCACTGGTTTACATTTCCGCTGTTCCAATATGCGCACGAAGAGAAGAGAGTTCGATTCTCTCGCCTGCTTCTGCATCCCGTCAGCCGTGACATCACACGTCACACAGCCTCTGGAAACTCCATGCGCACTTGGGAGGGAGTGAGAATGAAAACACAAATAATTCCTTGGTATTATTATGAACTGGTTTTGGCTGTATGAACTCATTGAAGGAGTTTAACCCTCTCATGTGTTTTCCAGATGGACGGTTCCTCCAACACAAATTTTACAAAGAATACCCAGGTAAGAGAAGAAACCACTCTTCCTTTGCAGAGGGTGCTAAAAGGAACAGTAAGGATTTCTTGGGTGAAAAAGAAAAATAGAATCCCGTTGATTCTGTTTGACTCTGTTGATTCCTGTTGATGACTGTTCTGAGAGCTACCGTCTGAAGCTGCTGTGAAGGGAAATGCCCATACGCTTCCTAGTTACCTTTATGCCATCAGATGGCCCTTTGGGGGTGAGGGGGCGGGAGGCCAAGATGCTTCTGGTGTGAAAACCTCTGCTCCATCCTGAGCAGCCCTCTAGGTGGCATCTGACATTGGCAGGAGCCATTCTAGGCTGCAGCCTGGGACTGAGGCAGTAGCTTAGGGATGTCTCATGGGGGATAAAATGAGAACTGGGATTGGAAAATAAAGTAGAAGCCCTGTTGCCTGATGGTGAGCAGAGGAGCTGGGAGCCAAAGAGGGGCTCATGGAAGAAAAATGGCTTTATGTTAAATCTTAGAATTTGAGACTGGATATGCTTAAGTCCTTCCTACTTTCATTCAGGGGATTGAAAATATGGCTGACACTCTTCTTCTATCCAGTCATTCATTGATCCATCCATCCAGTCTTCTAATCTTCCATCTATCCATCCTTCCATCCATCCATTCATCCAATATTCCATTCTTCCATCCATCTTTCCACCCATCCATCAATCCAGTCTTCCATCTATCCATTCTTCCATCCATCCTTCAATCATCCATCCATCCAATATTCCATTCTTCCATCAATCTTTCCATCCATCCATCCATTCTTCTCTCCATCTATCCATCTATTCATCCATCCAATATTCTATTCGTCCTTCCATCTTTCCATCCTTCCATCCATCCCTCCATCCATCCATCCTTCTATCCATCCGTCCATCCATTCTTCCATCCATCATATCTTTATTAAGAATTTACAGCACATATTTATCAAGCATTACTCTTTATTTTGTACTACATTTGTGATCATGGCAGACCCAATCCCTGCCCTCCTGCAGCTAATATCAAGCAGGAAATAACAGACATGAATAGCCTCCAAGGAGTTATTTAGTAATAATAGGGATTAGGGTGATTGAGGTCACATACAGGACACTATGAAAAGGACACCTAAGACTTGGATGTCAAGGAAGGCTTCCTAAGGAGGGGACATTTAAGCTCAGTCTAGAGAATAAGAAATAGTTGGCAAAGGAATAGCCACTGTGAAAATCCTGAGGTTGGAAGCAACTTGGCCTTCACTGCTGCTGGTGTGTAGTGAGTAAGGCGGGGATGGCAGTAGATTGGGCCAGAAACGCCAGCAGGACCACACCGCACAGGAGAGGAGGTGTGGCCGTGGTGAGGAGAGGGGAGAGGCTGCAGGTTGGGATTGGGTGACCTCCTTTGGGGGAGAAGAGGGGACAGGGCCAGGGCACCTGGTATTTGGACGTCATTTGGCAGTGGCTGGTGAGCCAGGGGCAGTTGAGTAGCAGAAGACATGCCTGCCCTCACACAGCCCTGGTCTTTTTGCAGAGGGTGATTCCAAGAATGTGGCGGAGCCTGGGAAAGGGCCCCAGAGGCACTTTGAATAAGTCTGCGGGCCGGTAAGTGGGAGGAATGGTGGCCAATGGCAGGGGGAGGGTTTGCACAGCCGGGTGTCCTGGGAGCTTTAATCACCAACTTGACCAGAGGAAGGGGTGACTGGGGCTTTACCTGGGGGTAGAATTTTAAAATTCTCTTACAATATCAAAGTAAGTAATATGAGAACTTGGTGTATAGCCAGAAGTGGAAGTGTCTATACCACGTGGACCTAAATCCAAACACTAGACTGGGTTGCAACTTTCCTTTCCATTCCTTGTCTTAATGCCTCGGTGAAGAGCAGATGAGTCCTCCGTTGTGCCCTGAAGTCCATCCCTGTGTCTCTCCCTCTGTCACACGATCCTCTCAAGTACCAACTCGTGCTTCTAGGGGCTTACCTCCTTCCGGGAGGCTAAGTAAGTCAACAAGGAAATCAGCCTGCAGTAAGTGTTGTCAAGGAACCGGACAGGGGCGTGAGGAAGAGTAGGCAGGTTGGGGAGGGGCTGTGCAGAGGTCACATCTGAGCCAAGATCTGCAAGGAGAAGCAGCTGCCTTGGGAAGACCCGGGGAGCAGGTGTCCGTGCAGAAGAAGCTGGAAGAGCAAACCCGGGGCAGGAGAGATCTTGGCTTCGAGGAGCCACAGGGAGGCTGCTGGGGTAGGGATAGAATGATGGTGGTGGGGCTGGCACCAGAGGGGGATCCCAGGGAAGGCATGGGCCCTGCTCTCAGACGCTCTCCGGGGCCAGATGCGTGCCTGTGGATGCCAAGGACTGGGAGCATCTCTGCCCGTAAAACCCGAATGCCCCGCCCACCCCTGTGAAAGTCAAATGTGTGCACAGGGCAAACAAAGGCCCTTGAAAGCAGCTGATTTCCCCAGAATGTCCTTGAAAGGCAAACATCGGGTTTCAGATTCCAGAATATTCTGGTGCAAGTCCCTCTTGGAAAGTCTTGAGTCCTTGGGGATGGGTGCCAGTGTGTCTATTACCTGCTGATGACAGGACCGGTCCTTGGAGTGGGTCTGACCCACCGAGGACAGCGAGCTCCCACGGGGAAGCACTGGGGGCCGGCGGGGGAGAGCGGGCCGTGAGAGGCAGTTTGTGGTGGTGTCTGGGAGCAGCCGGCCGGCCCGAACTGGGCTTAAATTCTTGACCCACCACATGTGACCTTAGGCAAATGACTTCAACTCTCCACGTCCCAGTTTCCTTATCTATAAAATGGGAATGATGGGGAGGGATGTGTTAGTAACTAAACAAGAGGATAGCCAGAGAGACTGAAAGTAAGTTAAGAATTCAGTCTTAGGGAAACTGGAATCTTACTGGTGTATGTGGGGGGTGACAAGGAAGAAGACGACGCGGACTGTGACCTCATGTTCTGCCCCAGCAGTGGCTCACGTTCCTTCCTTCTCTGCTTCTCTTCCAGCCAATGGTGAGAACATGCCTCCAGTTTTCTGCTAAGTCTTGGAAACAGTTGGATAAAACAGGATTTGACCCCCGGAGGTCATGCCCAGCTTGACAGAGCATGACCCCAAAACTACTTAGAGGCAAGACGGCTGGCTCTCAATGCCAGCATGATGCAACTGGCTGGGTGACTTTGTGGGAGCCCCTTGCCAACCCCGGGTCCCCGTCTTATTGTCCTGAAGGTACAGCACACCTAGCAGTCCCACTTGACCTGACGGCCCCACAGACCCCACCTTGGGAGGAGGTCACTGCCTTGGTGAGCTGTACGACGCCCCTTTCTCAGAGAGAGTTCAACCTCTTGTTTACTACACATTTCTTCCAGATGTGTCTCTGGGAGCCATGTACCTATCCCAGATGTTCTCAAAATAAATTGCTCCTTACAAAATGGAAATGAACTTAGCTACTCAGGTGGGAGTCATAGTTTTAACCCCCACTGATCTTAAATTGCATGTGCTGAAGCCCTTGAGCCCTGGGTGGGTGTGGGGGGGTGGGTGGGTGTTGAGGATACTGGGACGAGGTGTCAGCTCAGCTCTGCTTCTGGGACCGTGGAATATTCGGCCACGTGTGCACTGCTCTGGGTCGGATCCCTCTGAGGCAGACCTGGGAGGAGGATTTGTTGAAAGTGATTTGTTAGGAAAGTTCCTAACTTTCCTGGGGGAAAGGTAGGGAAGTGGGGAGGAGAGGTTGGGGTGGGGAGGAGGAGTAGGAGGAGGTCAGACAAGGTGAAACGTCAATGTCCCACAGAGGGTGACTTTGGTGAGATCCCCCAGGGCGGGCTCCAGGGGCAGTTGCTCAGAGGGGCCCACACTTAGCTTTAATGAAAATCTTAGGAATTGTCCACCAAGGGGCCCGCGTGTTCGTTTTGCAAATAGTGTAGGCGGCCCTGAGTCACACTGTGGAAGTGGCCCCCCTGGGGGGCATGGGAGCCAAGTCTGTGTGGGGCTCTGGCGCCCTTCAGTGACAAGGTAAGGGCTGCCCCTAGGGAAGGGGTGGCCACTTCCAGGGGCAGCCCACCTCTGCCAGGGAGGTGAGCCCATGGGGCTGTGGGCAGAGGCCTGGAGCATCGTTAACACACATCTCAACAGCAGCTGTACGATGCAGGCTCGTGGAGAGAAATGGCTCCATTTACCAATAACTCATCCCTCTCACAAGAGCCCGAGGTGATTGGTACTGATCAGTCCTGTGGAGGGCTCGACCTTCCAAATTCCAAAGTGGGCTTATGTGAAGACAACATCCACGTTCCCATATTTCAAAAAACAAGCAGCTCCCACTCCCCACCCCGGGCCCCTGCACCTCCCCGACCACGGACGCACCCTTTCTCCCATAAAATCCACACTCTCTTAGAAAACACTCCAAGCCCACTTTAAAGTGGAGACAGGTGACGGACGGGTCTCAGTGCATCCAGGTTGCTGAAGGACTACTTTGGTTTTTGTTTTGTTTTGTTTTGTTTTGTTTTTGTGTGTGGAACGTGAAAGAGAAAGTGTCCAGCGATTCATACACAAGCTGTATAAAGTGTGCCTTGGTTACCCCACACGGGGGGTGGGGGGATGGAGGTTGTGACCTTCCCACTGAAGGACTAGAAAGACGACTTTCTCCAAGAATGTCAAGCCCGACAAGAGACAGATCTGGTTTCCATTTTGGGGAGTGAGGATCATGTCTGTCCATGGCAGGCACGAGCCACTTTGTGAGATTTGTGCCCATGATTACAGGGGTTGCAGCTTGGGTCACCCGTGAAACCCCCAGTAGCCCCCCAGCTCCTGGAGGGTTGATCTCACTGGGCTGGAAGGGAGCTGGGCCTGAGGTTGGCTGAAGCCTCTGGGGGTGGGGGGTCCACTGAACAGCCACACTGCTCAAGACTGAGGGCACAGGGCTGAGGGACTGTCCACTTTGTGCCGACGGCATATAGTGGAAGCAAACGGGTACAACCAGCAGAGACTTGAGCGTGCCCGGCACTTCCTCCATCTGTAAATTGCACTGGCGCGCTGCCCCTCCGGAGCAGGGAAACTCACCAACTTCCCCACTGCCTTGTCCCTCCTTCATTCCCTCATTCACACATCCATTCTGGCAAGAAATATTTACCAAGCATTAACCACACTTGCCTGGTGAATCCAGGATGCCCTGTTTTTTCACCTTTCCATGTCCCTGAAGTTGGGATGTGTCATAGTCGTGGCCTCCAGGCAGCGGGCGTCATTGCCCACACACGAGTATGTCAGAACAGGTGAGACATAAGCAAGCTTCGTGGAAGCTTCCAGGAACAACGGAGGAACGGCCTTCTGGGAAATTCTGTGTCACTAGCACTCTCGGGGTTGCACAGGACCATACTGGCAGAAGGACTCGGACACTGGCAACCCGGAGTGGAAGAGCGATTGGATTCGGAAGAGTTGGATCCATACGTGATGACCTCCTGGGAAATACCTTATCCCATCCATTTCACTTTTATTTCCTTTGTGAGGTATGCATAAGAATGGTACGTGACGGCTCTGACACTTGCTGGCTGCATGACCCTGCCCAGGTCATTCGCTGTGCCTCAGTTTCCCCATCTGTAAAAGGGGGGTGAAGTTACCTCTTGATGCTGCTAGGAGGGGTAAAAGCGTTAGTACCTACGCGGCTTTCAGCGCCTGGCTCGCAGTACGTATGTGTAGTGCTCCCTGCTATTGTTGTTACTATTATTGCCTCTAAGGAAGATCTGACGGCCCCCGCTTGGGAAGACAGGGCCTCACCTGGGCTTGAGGGGCGGCAGGACCCAGGCATAGAGTCTCCCAGTTCTCTCTGTCTTCTCTGAGTAGAGTGATTGTCTTCCCCATGATGTGAGATGTGGCCCCGGCAGCTCCAGACTCCATCCTGGACACCCTGCCCCCCCCAGCCCCCAGCCTGCCACCCCTCTGGCACCTTGGGGAAGGCACCCATTTCTGGGCCCATCAACCGAGGCCAAGGGAAGGCTGAAGAAAGAACTGGCAGCTCTGCCATTTGCAATAGCAATGAGCGGAGCGGTGGGATGGTGCACCAGGAGGGGGTCCTGGGAAAACACACACGTCGGGGGCGGGCAGTCTCCTAGATGTCCACACCAGAGACCTCAGTTTACAAAGGAGGACAGCAGATCGCAGAATGTCTTGTGACCTGTCCAAGGTCGTACACAGCCAGGCAGTGATAGGTGGGCAATTAATCCTCAGGAGGAACTCCTTCTGCTCCTAGCCCTTGCCCTACATTATAACATTACTCCTCACGGCAACCTTACCATAGAAGCCAGCTCCTTCTGAGCACTTACTGGCTGCAGGCGCCTCTGGGAGCCCTCTACACACACAAGCAACTCATCTGAACTCTCCCAAGCCACGAGGAAGACCCTATCAACACCCATTTTACAAGATTAGGAAAACTGAGGCACAGAGCAATAAAGTCACCTAGCAGGTGTCACACAGCTTGGTAAATGGCAGGGGAAGGATGCAGACCTAAGTGATCGGATCCTAGTCTTTGGGAGGTAGGGATTTTTTTCTTTTTCCTTATCAAAGAGACTAAGCCTGTAATTTGTGTAGTTATATGAACACATAACAGGTACTGAGATTTGAATAAAACATTTGACTGATTATGACATTCTCCTGCCTACAGTCATTCAGGGCAGAGAGATATTCCATGCTTATTGTTGTTCTCCTAGGAAGTACAAATTACAGGAAGCCTTTCTGGAAAAGATTGTAGAAAGGAAAGAACACATTTGTTCTTTTTTTTCTCCCCATTAATTGTCAGAGTCAGATTATACCTTATACTAAGGTTGTCTACCTGTTTTTTTTTCTTATTTAAAAATCATTTTTAAACACTCTTTATTTGCAATATATGCATATATTGCATAAATGCAATAAATTGCATTTACCAGACACACGAAGAGACCAGCGGTACGGGGAGGCCCGCCTCCCCCGAGGTGACAGCTTGCGTAACTAGCCGCAGCGCCACCAGGAAGATGACCCTGGAGCCTCTGCCGAGCTTGGGAGGTTTGCTCTCGGTCCACAGGCTGAAGCAATTCGCCCAAGGCCTCGCGGCTTGGAACGGGCCTATCAGGAGCCCCACCTCCCATTTTTCTTCTTCCAGAACTAGAGGAGGTCAGCTCCGTTTCTCTGAATCCACAGTCTGGAGTTTTCTCTCTTGCCATATTGAAGAGGCAACAGAGGCTGCGGCCACTTCCATGGCTGCCTGGCCACTGGTCCACCGCCAAGGGGGCAGGGGTGGCCCGGGCTCTGAGAGGGCTGAGTCCCTTCTGACAGCAAATAGGGCCTCGGAGCAGGGCCTCGAGGAGGGGATGGGTTGCTGGGAAACAGCAGGCAAGCCCGGGGGCTGTTCCAGCCCTGCCTCCTGGATACAAAGGCCCTCGCAAGGCCCCTGAAAAGTGGCTGGACCCTGGGGGCAGCTGACGGCAGGGGCTGGCCAGGGGCCTCACCCACTGAGAAGGCTCTTCCAAAAGAGCAAACCCTGTTCCTTGGGTTGACCGACTTAGCTACAGTCTTTCCTGGGGCCATTTTCCATCTGAGCTGCCAGGATGAACGAACTCCCCCACCCCAAGTCTTTTCTAGAACATTCACACAGAGATCAGCAAGGTAGTCGAAAAAGAAGGCAGGTGGAGCCCTTCAGGTGAAGACAATGTAGGACAAATCCTATCTTAGAATCCCAGGAAAGGCGTCCTCATGCTTTCACCTGGGAAGAGGCGAGTAGGCCAAAACAGATTTCCTGCAATCACCTGTGGACTAGGGCCTAAAATTCCAGCATTATCATGTGATCTCTGCTCTGTCTTCACCTGGCCTTCCCCTCAGTGTCTTCGTCCCTCTGTGTCAAGTTCCCCTCTCCTTTCTTCTATAAGGACAACTTTCACTGGATTTGGGGCCCACTCTAAATCCAGGATGATCTCATCTTAACATCCTTAATTTAAGTATATCTGCCCTATTTCCAAATAAGGCCACATACACAGGTTCCAGGGTTCTGGGGATTAGGAGGTGGGTACCTCTTTTTGAGGGGGGGGTGTGGGGGGGGCACAATTTAACCAACCGTAGGGAGTAAGTTAGCTAACTTAGATTTGGGAAGTAGAGGAAAGGCATCTCAGGCAAAGGCACAGACCAGGGAAGTTCAAGGTTCAAAAAAGGGGGCCTCTGGGAGTGGGAGGACAGGGAGCAGGTCGTTAAAACAGGTGCCAGCCAGTTCACGGCTGGAGTTTGAACTTGACCATGAAAACAATGGGGAGCCACAGAAGGGTTTGCCTGGGTTATTGTCTATCTCACTGGACTCTCCCCACATCTCCGGGAGGCCAGTATGCGATCTTCATCTACAGCTGGAAACACTGAGGCTCAAAGAGGCGAAGTCATTCGCCCAAGAACAGACCATCAGGAAAATGTCAGAGAGAGGATTTGAAATCGAGCATCATGTAACCCCTTAAGCCGGAAGATGAACGCAGCAGAGCTTTGCGTGTCCACATAAGGCTGTTCGGGAAGGAGGAAGGGAACAGAGGTGAGATCCTGCAGGGACCAGACACCGGGCCCACCGCCCTATCCGAGAACGGTCTCCTGACGCTGGGCCTGGGCGACGCCATGTTGGTGTGCTGAGATCCCGCCCTGGCCACAGCTGATTGGCCCAGGTGTGGACCACCTGACTCGAGGTAAGCCAATCAGATTCCCCTATCCCCCGGCGCCCCTGAGTTTTTTTTTTGATGCCGGAAGGTGCCCAGGAGCCTGGCTCAGGAGGGAGAGACTTGCGCGTCCGGGTTCTGCCTCCGTGCCGGGCTGTGTGTCCTCACGAAACTTCTTGAACCTCCCCCCACTTCAGTGTCCTTCTCTGGAAGTCGGAGAAATGAAAACAGCACTGTCTTCCACGGCTACTGTGGGATACCGTGGAATCGGGTGGCGAAGCTTTTTGCCCAAGGCCTGGCACGCGGGAACCCCTGGGCAGATGGCAGCCGGCTCTGCTGGTTGTGTGAACAGAGGGAGGGGCCTCGCGGCTGTGCAGAGGCCACCTGCTGCCTCGTGTGTGAGGAGGAAGAGGAAGACGGAGAAGGAGCCAGAGAGAGAGACACCGTAGGGGCTCTTGACGGCGTTCCAGAACTTGAATCCAACTGATAAGAGCCTTGGCTGCCCTCCCTGTCCTGAGGTCCCAGGAAAGACTCCGTGGTTCCTGCCGCCCTGACTCGGGCCCAGGTTGGCATAAATGGGTTTCTGTTATTTGCAGTCAAAACCAAACCCAGACATGGGCGCCTGGGTGGCTCAGATGGTTAAGCGTCTGCCTTCGGCCCAGGTCATGATCCCAGGGTCCTGGGATCGAGTCCCGCATCGGGCTTCCCGCTCCATGGGAGCCTGCTTCTCCCTCTGTTTCTCTCTGTCTCTCATGAATAAATAAATAAAATCTTAAAAAAACAAAAACCAAACCCAGACAAAGCAATACAAAACACCATCCAAAACAACAGACACCTTGATTGGGACATTTTGGCAAAATGAAGCCCCCTTGGAATCCACCGGGACAGCCTTTGAACTGGATGCCAGGAAATTCCTGCCGCAGGCTTGGTTACCACATGAAGAAACCGGTCCAAGCGTATTGTGGGGCAGTCGCTGAGGCTCCTGAGAGGCCTCACCTCCCAAGGAACACGCATGTGATCTGCCACCCCGCATGCCACACCCACACGTCCTGCTCCAGATGGGCAGGCTCCTGGCAAGTTCCACGTTCAACTCAGGAACTTGTTGAACAGGTGCTTTGAGGTGGGAGAGTCCCCTGTCCATTGGGCTCTACCCATCCAGGCCCAGGCCGGAGAACGTGTGAGAGGGGAGTAGGCTGGGCCGTCGTGATTTCCCGAGTTACACGCCCAGATGAGTGCCTAACATCCATCACCTCTTCAACCATCGGGTTGGAAGGAGGCCATCATCTGCACGGATAGCGGAAAGGATTGAAGCTCGGATATGGCTGGCTTCTTGCTCAAGGTTATCCGGTCACTACATGTGGGAGCCAGAGATTTTTGTTTTGTTTTTTGTTTTTTTAAAGATTTTTAAATTTTTATTTATTTGACAGAGAGACAGAGAGAGAAGGAACACAAGCAGAGGGAGAGGGAGAGGGAGAAGCAGGCTTCCCGCAGAGCAGGGAGCCCGATGCGGGGCTCGATCCCAGGACCCTGGGATCATGACCTGAGCCGAAGGCAGGCGCTTAACGACTGAGCCACCCAGGCGCCCCTGTTTTGTTTTGTTTTGTTTTACATGAAATCAGCAAGATTGATCATTAACACCTTCACATATAAACAAGGTGTAGAAAAGTGGTATAAAGAACCTCTTGGGACTCACCAGCCAACTACCGTCTATACCCTCAACTTTTTTTTGCCAAGGCGGAGACTGCAGTATTTTAAAGTAAATCCTGGACATCCTATAGCTCACCTAGGAAGGTTCCAGAATGCTTCACTAACGGATGAGAATTTTTTTTTTTTTTTAAACATCACCATGTGCTCATTGTCACAAGACCACTAGTTGGGAAAGTTGGTGTTGGAACCACCACCCCATGTGTCCTGGGAGGAGGCAGACAGTCCCAGCCAAGTCCTGTTCTTCCAAGGTGAGCAAGTTCCCTAGAGCAGCAGTTCCCAAAGCAGGTTCCCCAGGCCAGCAGCATCACTAGGGAACTCATTAGAAATGCAGCTTCTCAGGCCCACCCCACACCTACTGAGTGGGAGACTCTGGGGTTGGGCAAGCAATCCCAACCTGTGTGTTTTAACACACCCTCCGTGGGACTCTGAGGCCAGCTCCAGCTCGAGAACTTCTGCTCTGGAGAAAGACACCCATGGAGGTGATTCCATACTTGCTTTTTGTCCGTTTATTCCTTATGCAGGTTCTAACTCCTGCCCCCAAAGGATGTTGAGGGGCTGGTCCTAAGTGGTATTGTCTTCTGGTTAGAATTGGTGACTCTGGAGCCCAGATGGTTAGTGGGTGGGATCTGGCTCCTCCCCTCACTTCCTAGGGGACCGTGAGCCCAAGCCTCCTCATCCATACAATGTGCAGCTGACAGGACGGGCCTCTTGGGCTGGCTGTGAGAAGGGCAAAGGGTAAAGTATAGAAAGCACCTAGAATTTTTCCCGGTGCACAGCAAGTGTTAGGGAAGGACCAGCTGTTCTTACCAAACGCGGGCGGCAAGGCCAAGGCAGGATGAGGAGGAGCCTGATTCTCAGGCGCAGGGCTGGGGGTGGGCCTCTGGGGAGGTGTGAAGGAGATTGGGGGGCTGCTGGGAAAAGTGGGGAACTCCCCTGAGGCAGGGAGGCTGCAAGGCAGTGACGTGGCAAGAGATGGAGGGGAAGGAGCTCACGGTTGCCCGGGGTGATGGGCTTCCCAAAGTCCCAGAAAGAGGACGGGAGGGGCCCGCCCCACTGTATGAGCTGTGATGCCTCTGGGAGCCCCAGGAAGGTTCTCCAGTCCTCCAGGGCTCAGCGGGGAAACAGGGACAAACAATCAAGGAGCGGGGAGGAGGGGCGGCGGGGGGGCGCCTCTGGACTCCAAGAAGATTCGGTGCCAGGGGGCTGGGGCTGGGTTCAGAGCAAACACCGAGGACAATCGCCCCGGGTGTGGTTGTCCCCGGCACTTGGACTGATCCTCTGCTTCCCTCCCCTCTGGAGCCTGCTAGTTTGTTCTTTATACTGATGAGTCTATTTCTCTTTTTGTGGTTTGCTTGCTTGTTTTGGTTTTGGGGTGTTTTTCTTTATTCTACGTATGAGTGAAATCATATGGTATTTGTTCTTCTCTGACTGATTCACTTAACACAACATCCTCCAGGTCCATCCGCGTCATTGCCAATGTCAGGATGTCCTTCTTAGAGCTGAGTAAGATCCCTTTGTCTGTATACACCACACCTTATGTATCCATCCATCTACCGATGCTCACAAGTTGCTTCCATATCCTGACTATGGCAAGTAATGCTCTAACAAACAGGGGTGTGTATATCTTTTCAAATTCCTGCTTCTCTTTTCTTTGGGTAAATACCTAGACATGGAATTACTAGATCATATCGTACTTCTATTTTTAGTTTTTTTGGGGAACCTCCATACAGTTTTCCACAGCTGCTGCGCCAGTTTGCATTCCCACCACTGGGTTTCCTTTTCTCCACATCCTCGCCAACACTTATTTCTTGTCTTTTTGATACCAGCCATTCTGACAGGTGTGAGGTGGTATCTTGTCGTCGTTTTTTCATTTCCCCAATGATGAGTGATGTTGAGCATCTTCTCATGTGTGTATTGGCCATCTGGATGTCTTCTTTGGAGAAATGTCTATTCAGGTCCTCTGCCCATTTTTTAAAAATCAGATTATTTGGTTTTTGGTAGTGTTATAAGAGTTCTTTATATATTTGGATGTTAACCCGTTATGCAATATGCAAATATTGTCTGCCATTCAGTGGGTGACTTTTTGTTTGGTTGATGGTTTCCTTCATTGTGTAAAAACTGTTTAGTTTGATGTAGTCCCACTTCCTTTTTTTTTGCTCAAGAATTTCATTTAAAAAGTACATTTAGGGACGCCTGGGTGGCTCAGTGGGTTAAGCGTCTGCCTTTGGCTGAGGTCATCGAGTCCCGCATCGGGCTCCCTGCTCAGTGGGGAGCCTGCTTCTCCCTCTCCCTCTACCCCTCCCCACTGCTCATGCTCTCTCGCTCTCTCTCAAATAAATAAAATCTTTAAAAAAATACATTTATATTTGCTATAAAAAAATCTAGGAATCTATCCATTAAAGTCTATCTTTAAATTCATGAGTTCACAAAAATATTTTTAAAAATCTAGTGGATCTTCTTCAGAGGATGATGAGGAACCAACGTGTTACTTTGAAAACCATTTCCTTTGAAATGGATCAAGCAGCGGCTCTACCCATCCTGTTCCAGTGGGTAACCTGGTTGGAAATGAGCAAAAACATCTCTTTGGGAAAGTATTCCAAGTGCTACTTTGAAGGAAATGTCAGGATTAGAATATCACGGTTTTGCCCAATGAATTAGTGAATCTAAACATTGAGAGCCAGTGAGTCCCAACATCACAAAAAGAGACAACCAGACATTAGGAGCCAGGGGGATGGCGTCCGAGCCCGATCCAGCCTCCGGATCACAATCACAGCACCAGTTTGTAGGAAGGTCGGAGGACAGAGGAACGTGCAGAGGTGCACTTGGAGTTTGTGATCCGCCAAATGCAGATGGTGGGGGATTGATTCTTTTTTTTTTTTTTTAAAGATTTTATTTATTTATTTGACAGAGAGAGACACAGTGCAAGAGGGAACACAAGCAGGGGGAGTGGGAGAGGGAGAAGCAGGCTCCCCGCTGAGCAGGGAGCCCAATGCGGGGCTCGATCCCAGGACCCTGGGATCATGACCTGAGCCGAAGGCAGACGCTTAACAACTGAGCCACCCAGGCGCCCCAGTGGGGGATTGATTCTACAGGCCACATGGCCTGGGTTCCTCAACAGGTAACTTGTAAGGGGGGAGGGGTAGATGGAGTGGCAGGCTGCAAAATGGCCCCTAAAGATGTCCATATGACACATGACCTCACGTGGCAAAAGGGACTCTGCAGATGTGCTTAAGTTAAGGATCTTGAGAGAGGGAGATCACCCAGATGGGCCAAGGGCAATCAAAAAGTCCTCGTAAAATGGAGGCAGGAGGGTCAAAAGGAAGGCGAAGCAGCATGAACAAGACGCCACCAGGCATTTCTGGTTTTGAGGATGGAAGGAGGCCTCATGAGCAGAGGAATGCAGTGGCTTCTAGAAGCTGGAAGAGATAAGAGCATGTATTGTCCCCTGAGCCTCTGGAAGGAGTGCAGCCCTGCCAACACTGGGATTTCAGTCCAGTGGGACTGTTTCAGACATCTGGCCTCCAGAACTGTGAAGACTCAGTTTGTGTCATTTTAGGCCACTAAGCTTGTGATGGTCTTTTACCGTGGCAACAAGCAATGAATGCAGATAGGAAACCTGTCGGTTAAAGAAATTCAAAGGACACACCAAGTTAGCAACAAGCACAAGACCAAACTAGAGTGGCGGGTAAAGAAGCCATGAACATGTGAACGTGAAAGTCAGGAGAATGGGCACATCTGTGGGGCGGGAGGTGGTTGCTGTCGGCGGAGGGCACGTGGCGGAGCTCCCGGGGAGGGTGACCATGTCCCACTCTCTGTCCCAGCTGGCTGGTGGCTTCAGGGGGTTCACCTGATAATCATTCATTAAGTTGCACCTTGGTTTTGTGTGTGGGGGTTGTTTTTTTTTTTTTTTTTTAGGATTTTATTTATTTGAGAGAGAGAGAGAACATGAGAGGGGAGAGGGTCAGAGGGAGAAGCAGGCTCCCCACTGAGCCAGGAGCCCGAAGTAGGACTTGATTCCAGGACTCTGGGATTATGACCTGAGCCGAAGGCAGTCGCTTAACCAACTGAGCCACCCAGGCGCCCTTATGTGTTTTTTTAAGACTGTTCTGTTTTGCACTTAACAAGGTAACCGTAATAACATTTGCGAGGATGGTTTTTTTTTTTTTTTAAAGATTTTATTTATTTATTTGAGAGGGAGAGAGAACGAGAGACAGCATGAGAGGGAGGAGGGTCAGAGGGAGAAGCAGACTCCCCGCCGAGCAGGGAGCCCAATGCGGGACTCGATCCCGGGACTCCAGGATCATGACCTGAGCCGAAGGCAGTCGCTTAACCGACTGAGCCACCCAGGCGCCCTTGCGAGGATGGTTTTATGGGGTAGAATCGGACTTCATCTGCAGCCACCAAAGATGGGCATTTTCTCCCGATTTTGCTGAGATTTCTTTTGCCAACAGTGCAGGAAATGGCACCGAGAGAAAAGAAAAACAGCTCTGCCGAGCTCATGACTCACATTGTACCCAGAAGCGGGGCAGAGCGGACTTGCCAGCGAACGGAACACATGTCCCTGTAAGCCTCAGTGCCCCCGCCCCAAATGCCACTCTCGGTGGTGGGGACAACTGTCCTGTGCTGTCGCTGCAGGTTTCCTGGCAAGACGGTGCTCCAGGTGCCCAGCATGGTGACGGGCTCCACGAGGCCCCGTTCTTGGTTCCTTCCCTCCCTCCCCTGCTTCATTTCCCTGCTCCCTCGGCTGGGGTTTCCTGGGGTCACCTCCCAGATAAAGCACTTGCTCTCAAACAAAGGTTTGCATCTGGGGAAACCCAAGGCAAGACACTAAGAGAAGGTTTAACCGGGTGGGAGGAGACACCCGGATGTAGACAATGTCTGTGGCTGTTTACCTGGCTGCTTCTGGCCCGGGCTGGCACCGCCCCGTTCCCAGCTCTGCACACAACCTCTGCTGGGTAGAGATATTTGGTGCACAGACAGGTGGGGGTCTGAAAAGGGCGCCTGCTCCCCGCCCCCAGGAGCATCTACAAATCTGTAATGGGGTGGCTGGCGCCCCCTAGCCTCTCCCCAGCCTGCCCAAGCTGACCGGGCAGCCCTGCTGGGGGCTGTCCCGGGCACACTCAGGACCCGGTAATTCTCCCGTGACCCGGTCATTCTTCATGAGCACCTGCAAGGTGTGTATAATTTTCTTCCTTTTAGAGATGAGAGAGGCCAAGGCTCAGAGGGTGAGATATGAGGCCCAAGGTCC